CCAATGATTCCCAAGAAGGAAAGGAGCTGTTGTGGGGTGGTAGAGTTGGGATCTGAGTAATTAAATGTATGTGGTCAGGGGGAAGAACTAGGAGGATGTGGAGGGACAGGTGATGTTGAATGACAGAGGGGACTGAGATGTCTCAGATGTGCAGGTTGAGGGGGGGAGAAGATGTGGGGCAGGAGAAAGGCGTAGCAGTAGGTGTGAGAAGGATGATGATAGGCTGGGGAGCAGAGCCTGGAATAGTGAGGCTGGCAGAGGGTTTTGTTAAAATGTCTCATCTGAGGAGTGGGATTGGACAGATGGGAATGACTAGAAACAAATGAGTAAAAATGTGGTCTTTTAATTGGCATAAGAGCAGAGGGGTTTTGCAGTGCCATCAATTCCCACAACAGTGATGAGGCTAAAGTTAGCTGTCCAGAGAATGAAGAGAGGGTGAAATGGATGCCCCTGTATTGATCAGAAATGAGACACTATTTTTACTGCAAGATTTGCCTGGAGTTTGGTGCCTGTGATGGTCCAAGGAGCATCTGAGACCTCTGAGGCATTTCAATCATCTGAGGTCCAACCGATCAAGATGGCAAGGGCAACTGAGCCCTGTCAAGTGGCCCTGGGGAGGGGACCCCTGAGTTGGGCCTAGCCACCCCAGTACAGTCTACCTTTCAGCGAGGGCTCTGTACATGAGGCATGGCTTGGGAGAGACTCATGGGTTGGGACAGTCTTTGCCCCAGTGGCCAGTCTGGTGACACTTAAAGCAGGGTCCTGGACCTCTTTTTTGGATCCTGGGAGGTTTTATTTGGCCCCCAATTGGCTTTTAGCCCTTTGGGTGGGTTTTTTACAGTGGATCTAAGCAGTTGTAAGTCAGAAATATATTGCTGGTGGGCAGCCATATCATGATTATTGAAATGCTTAATTGATCAATTTCTGATGGAAATCTGAGGACCAGATTTAAGTTTTTTGGAGCTTTTTGCAAATATCTGGGGCAGATTGGGTAATAACATGCATCCTTAAAATAAGTTGTCCTTCTGGAATCTCAGGGTTTAGAGCAGTAAAATTTTGAAAGTGGAGGCTAGGTGAGACACAAACTTGGCCAGATTTTATCTCATGGGGGCTTGGCCTGGGGACAGCTGGAACCTTTTTCTGTCATAGGATTGAGCTAGGGACCAAATCTGTCTGTTCTTGCTCCTCAAGGGAGAAGGCAGAAGTAAGGATGACACTAGAGGTAAGGTTAAATCATAAGATTGAGGAAGATATTGAAATTCTTGAACATATTTAGTGGGGTCTGTGAAGAAAGAACCCAGGCACTGATTAATCTGAGAAAGCTCAGAGAAAAGGGAGCATGAACTTGGATCATTTCCTCCACCCCTTCTACTTCCCAAAGCAGAAACTGAGGAGCAGGGAGTAGGGGAGAAATGCCAAACTGCAGTTTAGACCTTGTGTGAGAGGGGGTTGGAATGGTCTTGTTAAGATAAGCAGGAAGGTTGGAAGTGTCAGTTAAGTGGAGAGAGTAGGGACCAGAGTAGAGGAAGTTAAAGTAGGAGGTCCTGAAGGAAGCTAAGCAGCTTTGGTTTTTCAGCTGGGGCTAGAATGGAGGCAAAAAGGAGACAAGGGATATGGGCAGTTATGGGAGAGGGTAGGAAGAGTGGGTAGGGAGGCAGGGACAGTGGAGGCTTTTGAGGTTGGGGTGGATTAGGAATGGACTGAGGTTGTGGGGAGCAGGGGAGGCAGACCTAGAGACTAAGGATCAGTGGTCAGAGAGGAGGGGTAGTGGGGAGGGGGAGGGGAGGGAGCTGACAGAGGAGTTGAGAAGTTTAGTGGGGCCACAAGAGGCACAGAGAGAGGGGAGTCTGCGAATAGCCAGGGATGTCTGGACCTATGAGACCTCTGACCATATTTCCAGCCGGCGGGAATAGTTGTCTAGTTTTCAGAGAATTGAAAAGCTGAAAGTGCCATTTTTGGGTGAATATGATTCATTGTTTAATTTGTATTGTGGCCAGGCTGAATTATAACAGTAAATGAGATGTTTTGGCTTCAGGTTGGGGGTGAGATGGAGAGTTTGAGGTTTTTAAGAACACAAGCCAGGGGAGCAGAAGGGGGAATAGAGGAAGGGAGGTTGCCCATAGTGATGTCTGACACTGGAAACTGGGGCTTTTGGGAAAAGGAAAGAACATCTTTAATCGGTTTTCGGAAGCCAAGAGTAAATGAGCAACCAAGTCAGTCTTCCCGAGATTGGGCAGGGAACCTGGTTTCTGAGAGTGTGACCAGTACTGGGTTTCAAGCATACTTTGAACTTGAGCTGAATCAGACAGAGCACTCTGGATGAGAAAGGGTGACAAGAGAAGGGTGAGCAGGTAGACCTCCTGTAGGGTGAGAGGGAGTGAGATCCCAGGCGGACCTGTCTTGGGGGGAGGGAGTAAGATCCCAGGCGGACCTCAGCAAGGGTGGGGGGAGCAAGGTCCCAGGCAGACCTTGTCTGAGGAGAGGGAGTGAGGTCCCAGGTAGACCTCGTGGTGGGAGAGAGTGAGATCCCAGGTGGACATCCTCTGGGGGGGATGGGAGTGTGAGGGAGAGTAAAAGAATCACTGACCCATCCTGAAGAGAGTACCTGGACCAGCAGTGAGCCGTGGTAGGAAGAAGCCAGAGGTCGATGTCAGGGGTGGCCTCAAAGTACTCAGCAGGGTTGGGGGAGGGAGCTCAGATCTCCCCTTATGGGCCACCAAATGTAAGGTCAGACCAAGACACGATTGAGACCACTGAGGCAGGCAAAGTCTAAGCAACATGTGATGAGTTTATTGCCATCTGGGTGCAGATGGGCCAAGGGTGAGAAGGCCATTGGCACTGAGAGGAGGGTGCTCATGGTTATATGGGGCATTTGCGGGGGCACTGGTCAAGAGGGTGGAAAATTTTAGAGTTCCATGGGTGATGGGCCTGGGGCTGGCTGATAAACAGGGTGGTGGTGAGAGCAGCAGGGTGGTTGCTGGCTTCTTATCTCTGTGCTCCTGTGGATGCAGGTAGTGGGTCTGATGGGGGAGGCAGGTCCTGACTTGGGGGGATAAATAGCAGTTGTCAAGAGAAACAAGCAACTTAAAATTAAGACAATTTTGAACCAAAAGCCAGAAATCTATGAAACAAAGGCTAGAACCTAGCCTAGAATGTATGAAGCAGAAAGTTAGAACCTATGAAACAAAAGCAAACTCTTACCTCTGTCCAGTAATCTCAGGGGAAGACTTCCAAAATGAGGGAATGGATATCTGAAATGAGAGTTCATGTTCTCTAAAATCGAAGAACAAATTCTAGGAACAGAGGTTAAGAGTAGGAAAATTTTATTGAGAGAAAGATAATTTCTGTCTAAGAGGCAGAAGGGGGATCAAAAAATAGGTTGCCCACCCACCCTGCTTCTCAAAGGTGTTTTATGGGACAAAGCCATGAGGTAAAGTGGGTACAAAGTGGGACAAACCTATAGTCAACTAGTAAAATTACAAGTACAGTCACCTAGGTAATGTTAGTCCAATGGGAAATTACCAGGTGGACATGAGGTGGGACAAAACTATGATCGAACAGTAGGATTACAACAAATATAGTCTTGTAGGTGTCAGGTAAAAGAGCCAAAAACCAAGACCAGTCCGGAACCACAGCAAGCCTTTATTAAGGAGAAGGAACAATCTGCCAGGTTGCCTCTGAGCAAAGGAGTGCAGCAGCAAGGCAGGGACTGGGCGGGGATTGGGAGATGTGACTGTGAGGGATTGGAGGGTTTGTAAGGTGCCTCACCAAAAAATTGGAGGATCCTATGACATCACTGGTTGCCAGGAAGGGAGCAAGTATCTTTTGGCAGGAAGAGAGGCATCTAGGAAGAAGAAGGCTGTCTTTTGGTGGGAGAAGCCATTTTGGGGCTAGGTTTAGGTGGAGAAACACTGCATCATGGGAAGAAGGCCAATTTGGGCGGGAAGGGAGCCATCTTGGAACTGGGCTTTGGCAGGAAGAAGGGCAGGATGGGCAGGAGAAGGCAGCCATTATATGTAGCGGCCATTTTAAAATGAGGGAAATCTATCAGTAGGTAATATTGATTAAATGGAGATCAAATGGGGAAGCAAGTTACAGAGCAAGCATACAAGGAAAGAACAAGGATTTTCGATAAGGGATGGGTCAGAGACCTTTCCTGGAAGGGATAGGTTAAGGTCTTGGTCCACCCAGGTGACTGGTACCTATTTAGAATATCGATTACCGCTATTTGTCCCTAGGGGAAATACCTGGGTATAGTAGTTTCTCTCTTTTTTATAATGCTAACCAGTGAATATGCCTCAATTGTTTTTCTATGCTGAGGGCCCAGTTTTGCCCAACTGCTTTACAGTAATTTCTAATTTAGCTATCTGCAATAGTTTCCACCTGCAGGAATAGGGGAAGCAGGCTAAGCAGGTTTAGGATTGATTGACTTGAATAACATCAGTGGACTTTGGGGGATGGGGGGTATACCTAGTCCTCTGGTTTCTGGCTGACCCTGGGGTGATCAAGGCTGGTAAATAGTGGCTGGGCATGTGAGGGTTGGGGTGTAGCCCTAGCTCACCTCACATGTGAATAGCTTGTTTTGGCTATCCCTTGGAAGGACAATCCCCCTATGGTCCACCAGGCTCCAGACAGATGTCAAAGAATCAGAATACAGAAAGTAAGATGAGATTATTATACCTTATATAGCAGATGGGTCATCTGAGGTTCAAGTGGGAAGTGGCTGCCCCAAGGCCCCAGGCCCCACAGCAGGTCTGGTTTGGCCGAAGGGACTGGGGGTAATGCCAAGGCAGGGAGGGACAAGAAAGTCAGAAGAGCTACTGGGCCCGGCTCACAGGCTTCCTGGGAGGTTAATAAGGTACTGTGTCAGAAGTGCTCAAAACAGCCTGGCAGAATAGGTGCTCAGAGAGCAAATGTTTCCTTCATTTTGAGAGTATCTTTCACCCTTTCCCCTCATAGAGGCTGTAAACTCACCCTGTGGTCCTCTGTTCTGCCCTCAGAGCCCCAAACCGCTCAGCCTGAAGTGGACACCCGCCTGGGCTGTGTGCAAGGCCAGCAGGTGGGCGTGAAGGGGACAGACCGCCTTGTGAATGTCTTCCTGGGCATCCCATTTGCACAGCCACCCCTGGGGCCTCTCAGGTTCACTCCCCCACTGCCAGCACAGCCCTGGGAAGGTGTACGGGATGCTGGCACTGACCCCTCAATGTGAGTAGCCTGGATGGAGATGGACAAGCAAGCAGGTTGAGAGTCAGGTGGTCCAGCTGCCAACACAAGTGGGGCTGACCAGCTATCCCTCCATTCCTTCTTGGCTGCAGGTGCATGCAGCACATAGAAAGAATGAACAATACCAGATTCTGGCTCAATGGAAAACACAAAATCTTCCCTATTTCTGAGGACTGCCTCATCCTAAACATCTACAGCCCAGCTAAGGCCACTACAAAGGCCAGGAAGCCAGTATGCAGCCCAGAGAGACTTGTTCACCCATCCAACTCCACCCTGCCTTCCTCTCCCTCCCCTTCCCTGTTCCCAATCACCCCAGGGGTCCTGAAAATCCCTGGTAGATGGGCAGCTGGGGCCTTGGAAATTAGGAGTCACTGTCTCATGGCTATCTCTGCAGGTCATGGTACGGATCCATGGAGGTTCGTGGTGATTGGCTCTGCCTCCTCCCAGGATGGATCAGCCCTGGCTGCCTATGAGGGTGTGGTAGTGGTCACAGTTCAATACCACCTTGGGATCTTTGGCTTCTTTAGGTGACAGCTGGCCTAACAGAGGGCCTAGAGTACAAGTCCAGAGCCTGAGTGGAAGGCCCTCCATCACTGCTGTCTGGAGTAGAGGAGGAAGCAAGCTGGACACCGTAGCACCCACATATAATCCTAGCACTCTGGGAGGCTGAGACAGAAGTATTACAAATTCAGGCTTATTTGGGGCAATTTAATGAATTGGCAGCACCCTCCCTCAAACTAAAAAACGAAAGAAAGAGGTATTTAGCCCAATGCAAAGGCCCTGGGTTCAACCCCCGGTTATGCAAAATTAAAAGAAAGAGATAAAGAACCTTGGTATCTAAGTTCACCTCAAGGGAGGGCCACAAATAAAGCCAGAATTGTACACTGAACTTGGCCCATTGGGCAATGAGTGTTAGTTTCTGGGAGGGAGCCCATGTCTCAGCAGGGTATGGGGGCAAAGAGCAACAAGCTCTACAAACACCTGAGAGCCATCCCAGGCTCTCTGCCCTGCTAGGCGTGCCCATATCACAGACTGGGCATATAGAGAACAAGCAGAGTTCAGACCCAGGCCAGACTTTGGGAGCACAGAAAGGTTCTCACTATTCTCACAACTGATTCAAAGCAAATCAACCAAGGCCAAGGAATTTGTGTCCAGGGGACCAGCTTGAACTAATCACTACCTCATCCTGCTCCTAGCACTGGGGACAAGCATGTGCCTGGCAACCAGGCCTTCCTAGATGTGGTGGCTGCTCTATGCTGGGTGCAGGAGAACATCACTCCCTTCAGGGGTGATCCCAACTGTGTCAGCATCATTGGCGGATCTGCAGGTGGCAGCATTGTCTCTGCCCTGGTAAGTTGATACAGGCAGCTACAATTGTAGTAGGGGTCCCAGACCTCTCCTCTGTCCTCTGCTGAAAATGGTCTGTCCTCTCTGCTGCACCCAGGTGCTGTCTCCAATGGCCATGGGACTGTTCCACAGAACCATTGCACAGAGTGGAGTCATCTTTGCCCCACTGTTAAGAGGATCTGACTTATGGCTCAAAGCTCAGGTCTCCATTTCCTTTATTCTTATTCCATGTGTTCCACACACCCCATGATGTGCTGGCTCAGAGGTCTGAGTCAGAAATAGTCACCCATAGGAGGTCCTTGTTTCAAAGAGGGACCTACTAGGATAAAGAAAACACAGCACCTGTGGAAGTTCAGAGAAAACACCAGTGCATTCCTGGGGATGAGCAGTCAGATGTCACTTTCTGGAGGAGCAGACTGTCTCTGGCTCTTTCCCCAGGGTAGTGTCTTGGGGAGCACACCTCTCCCCAAGAATGCTTGGGGATCCCTGCATTTCCAGCCCCTGCTGCCTGAGAGATGATCATTCAGCCTCCAGATCCCACCCTCAGTCCTCAATGAGGGCCTTGTGAGAAGTCACCATGGGATGTCACAGAAGGTTTCCCAAATGGGCACTGCAGCTGCTCAGGCTGCAGTTGTGAGATAGTGATGGTCTTGGAAGCATGAAGCCATCAGGTAGAGACCAGCTGGAAGTTAAGGATTAGGGCATTGCAGGGACTCGAGGGCCATGCCAGGAATCTGCACTGGATCAGAGGGCAGGAAGAAGCAGGGTGACAACAAGTCTGAGCCTTCAGCAGGGCATATTGCCTCTTGTCTACATAAGAGCAGCAGCTTCTCTGCCCATCTCATTGTGACTGGGAGGGATTATCTCCACCCCGAACTCAAGGTCCTTCCCTGGGTTCCCCTGAAGCACACTTGTCCCTCCAGCCCCACTTCCCAGGGACCCCCTGGCCCTGCTCCAGCCTCAGCATTCCCACCATTCCTTGTCAGAGCATCCCCACACTGATACCCTCCCTCTCCAACCCCTTCTCATGTCATTCACTCTGCAAACTATTATGACACATAAAAGGACACAGTTCTCAGAGGGGAAATGTTCTCACAGAGCCAAAAAATAAACCAAAACACAGCCACGTGTGGTAGTGCATGCAAGTAATCCCAGCACTTGGGAGACTGAGCCAAGAAGATTGCCACCAGTTTGAGGCCCACCTGAACTACATAGTAAGTTCAAGGCCAGACTGAACTACATAGTGAGACCCTGTCTCAAAAAATCAGAGAGAGAGAGAATAAAAGGCAATCATAATTTGGTGTCATTGAGGTACACACAGGTTACGTAAGGGAGGCCTCCCATAGGTGGTTGGCAGATCTTTGGCCAGGCTTGGAGTTGGTCTGTGACATCACAGCCCAGTCCTACAGATGCACCCCCTTTCCACGGGAGGGAAGGGGTAGGGGGCTGAAAAGAGGGGAGATACTTCTGTCTGTCCCCAGAGCCTTGCAGACTCCTTGGCCTGCAGCTCTGACTCCCCAGCTGAGCTGGTACAGTGCCTTCAGCAGAAGAAAGGAGAGGAGCTGATCCCTACCAAAGTATCGATATGCCACCTCTTTGGGGATGGTGACAGGCAGAGACCCAGAGGGGCTCCTGTCCAGCTCTTATGGGGACAGATGGGAAGTCACCAGTGTGGGATGGGGCTTGGGGCAGCCACCCATAAGAGAAAGGGGCTGAGGGCTCCTCCTGGCCCTGAGGGTTGGCCCTGTTTTCTGGGGACTTGCATGTGCTTGGAAGCAGTACTTGTTCAGGGCTCCTGATTCCCTCTGGGCTCCAAACTCCAGTAATTTTCATCTCCTCATTTTCCCTGAAGCCTCAGCCACTCAGACGAACAACTAGGTGACCCCTGGGGCCTCATCCTTTGAGGCTTGGCCCTGACGGGCATGGTGGGGGGCAGGGGGTTCTGCTTTGCTTTCTCCTGCAGAAAATGATAGTCTCGACCTACACCATAGATGGCTCTTTCTTTCCCAAAAGCCCTGAGGAGCTCCTGAAGGAAAGGCAGTTCCACCCTGTGCCCTTCCTCATAGGTGTCAACAGTCATGAGTTTGGATGGCTCATCCCCAGGGTGAGTGTCCCCTAGGGTGAGTGATCTCTTCCCTTCAAGGCTGTGACCATCACTACAGCCCTGTGTGCTGAATGCTCCTGTTACTCCCATCTGATTGGTGAGAAACTTGAGGCTCACAGTGGTTTCAGAGTCACCAACTAAAATCATCCAGCTTCATTTTCACAAAGCAAACTTTCCTCTCCAGGGATCATTTCTGCACAGAGAGGTCTTCTGGGCAATACTGAGCCTCAGTAGATTTCTGCTGGTGTCTGGTTTACATATCAGGCTCTGTGAGACTGGTTAGGGTGGCTCTGTGCTTGACTGACTACCTGAGACTCGAGTTTCAGATAGCATTAAGTCAGTGGAGACCTCACAGGCCAAGCACCTTCCAGTCCACTCCAGTGGCACAGAATTCCCCACAATAGTGTCAATATCACTCTGTCCCCCTAGACAAGGGGGTGAGAATCTTGCATCATTCTCACTTGCCTGCTTATGTTCACAGCAACCACTTTTTTAACATTTTCAGTGCTGGGAATGGAGCCTGGGGCCTCATGAATTCTAGGCAAGCACTCTACCATTAATCTACACCCCTCTGCTTTTAACACTTGCAAACCCCACACAAAAGTTTCACTTTGGCATTTGAGCAGGTTCTAGTTTTTACCACTGCAGTTAACAGTGTAGGGAATATCTTCATGTCCACAATTTTTATCCCTTTACTTATTCCTTTGGAATCAATTCCCAGAAGAAGTGTTGGCTTACAGTAGGAGAATCTCATGCAACCTTGACTTTCAAGGACAAAACTTTGTAATTTCTAGGCTAATGTCCCACTCTCTCGGCAGGCAGCTTTACCTCCACATTGTCAACTTAGAGTTGTAAGCATAAAATTTGCAGAAACTCAATGTAGCTAGCTGCCAAGACCTGCACAGAGCTGGTAACAAGGATGGTTCTCAGCCATCTGTGGATCCATGAGCTGCTCACCACATCACCAGTGCAGGGGTTTCCTGACTCTCCTTGGTATCCATGTGAGTGCAAGTATACATTTTTCAGCCAGCTCAATGTTAACTAACATCCATGGTCAAAGTTTAAGCCATGGAAAGAAAGTATGATACCCTTCATGAAAATCCTCTCCCCCCGCCCCCCACATTTTAACTATGGCCACTGCCATAGCACCTTCTAAATTCAACTTCAGCCTCCAGGGTTTCTGTGGGGTTTTTTGGTTTTTTTCTGTTTGGTACTAGGGATTGAACTCGGGTTCTTGCTCTTGCAAGGCAGGTGGCGGAACCACTGAGCTAAATCCCCAGCCCTTACCTCCAGGTTTTTATTGCAAATTTACCAGCATTTGCAGCCAGGTGCAGTGGTACACACCTGTAATCCCAGTTCCAGGAAGCTGAGGCAGGAGGATTGCTATGAGTTTGAGTCTATCCTGGACTGCATAGTGAGTTCAAAGTCAGCCTAGACTACATAACAAGACCCCATCTCAAAAATATATGCCCTTTCCAGGTGTAGTGGCACATGACTGTAATCTCAGCACTCAGGAGGCTGAGGCAAGAAGATGGCCATGAGTTTGAGGCCAGCCTGTGTAAGACCAAGGGCCTTACCAAACGCTCCGAGGAGCTGACTTCAGCAAAGAACACCCAGGAAGGAACACACTGGACAAGTTGGAAAGTAAAACAGACCTTTATTAGTCTGGCCAGATGGCACTCCCAAAGCAAAGTAGCTTAGAGAGGCAACTGGCTCAGAGTCCGAAGCTGTTTTTATAGGGGGTCGCAGGGGAAGTTGGCAAGCAGAAAGAACACTACGCCCACAACAGACCTTCCTGGCACAACAAACCTTCCTGGCACAACAACAAACACATCTCTGGAACTTGATGTCTACCTGGTGATCCGTAACAGAAGCAGAAAGTTGGGGCCCTATTACAAAGATGGAGTAACTGTTGTTCAGTCTCACACCTGGGCTATATATCAAGACCCTGTCTCAAAAAATTTTTAAAAAGAAAATATGCCCTCAAAATCAGCTTTATTAGGATATAACTTATGCATCATAAACTCACCTCCATAAAGCATAGTATTTTGTGCATTTTAGTATATTCACAAAGTTGTGCAACCTTCACCACTATCTTATTCCAGAACATTTGCATCACTCTAAAAAGAAGCCCTGATCCTATTAACTGTCGCTCTCTAGTCTCCTCCTACTACCCCTAGCAACCACTAATCTGTTTGTCTCTAATCTACTTCTGTCAAATCTATTTATGCACTTATTCTGGGCATTTCATCAAAAGAGAAACATAAAATAGATATCTTTTGGGATTTGATCTATTTCATGATGTTTTTAAGGTTAATTCAAACTGTAGCATGTATCAGGCCTTCATTCCTTTTCATGGCCAGGGCATCAATAGAATAGATACCACATTTTGTTTATCCATTCATCAGTTGATACACATCTGGATTGTGTCTTAGTTACTTTTCTCATTGCTGGGACAAAATACCTGACACCCACAAGTTAAAGAAAGAAAAGTTTATTTTAGCTCACAGTTTGCAGAGGTTTCAGTCCATAGTCAAGTGGCTCCAAGGCAGGGTGGCATGACAGAGGAGAAACAGGTCATGCTTTGGCAGGCAGAAAGCAGCAAGTCTTCCTTCCCTTTTTATTGCACTCAGGCTAAAAGTCTATTGGTTAGTGCCCCAGGATAGGCCTTCTGTCTTCGGTAAATCCATTCAGCCACTTGCAGAGTTATCCTAATCTAGGGCAGGGGATTTAGCTCAGTGGCACCTCGCCTGCCTCGCAAGCGCAAGGTCCTGAGTTCAATTCCCAGTACCAAAAAGAATTATCCTAATTCAGTCAGTGGACTGATCCAGTTATCACACAAACATAATCCATATTCATATACCCTAGATCCAGTATCACACACTCAGAATCCAGCCACTTCCCAAAAGCCCTACCTATGAGCACATGAGGCTTTGGGGGAATATCTAGATATAAACCATAATAGATTGTTTCCTCCTTTTTGGCCATTATGGATAATCTCCTAAGTACATTCGTACATAAATTTTTGTGCAAATATATTAGTTTTCCATTACTATGAGGAAATATATTTGTCTAAGTAATTTGTAAAGAAAAGAGGTTTATTTCGCTCATAGTTTTGGTGGCTGAAAGTCCAATGACCTGGTACTGGCTCTTGTGAAGCCTTCCTACTCCACATTCCCAAGCCACATTCTATTACCAGATGCCAGATTGCAAGATTGTATCACCAATGGTAAGAACATGGGTGGGGGGAGCGCGGGGGGTGGGGGATGATGATCACCAGACAGGAAGAAAGGAGCTCTTTCATAACAAAATTGCAGCTGAGGATTTAGCTCAGTGGTTTTGCTGCCTGCTGCTCAAGGACCGGAGTTCAATCCCCCCCGGTACCAAAAAAACAAAAAGAAGACTACATAACAAAATTGCAAAACTGGCTCTCAGGAGAACTAAGCAGGGATCCTGTGAGTACTAGGTTAATCTATTTTTCCAGCACAAGTTCCCAATGACTGAAGACTTCCCACTAGGCCCCACCTCTTAAAGATTTGTCTCATACCCTGCCACATGGGTGTATCAAACTTCCTACACATGAACCCTTGGAGAACACAGTGCTGGGATTTACAGGCATACACCACTTTGCCCAGCTGAGTTACATATTCTGGATACAAGTTTCTTATCAGACATAGGACTTGTGAATACTTTCTTCCATTTTGTACATTGCCTTTTCACTTTCCTGATAATGTTCTTTGCAACAAAAACTTTTCATCTTTATGAAGTTCATATATTTTTTTTCTTCTGTTGCTTTGTGCTTTGCCTAATCAAAATTACAAAGATTTAATCCTATATTTTCTTCTAAGAATTCTATAATTTTAGCTCTTTACCTTTACATCTATGTTGGAAGTTTTGTTGGGTTTGTATTTTGATTTTGTTTTTGTTTTTATTTGTTTGGTTGGTTTTGGCATTGGGAGTTCAACCCAACCAAGGCCTTCCCACTGACCAACCTCCCCAACCTTTTTTTTTTTGGTACTGGGGATCAAACTTGGGACCTTGCGCTTTCGAGGCAGGTGGCAGAACCTCTGAGCTAAATCCCCGGTATCCTCAACCTTTTTTAAATTTCGTATTTTGACATATTTTCATGTATTTCACTAAATTGCCGGGACTGGACTTGAATTTGCTTTCCTCCTATCATAGCCATCTGGAGTGCTGAGAGTGCAGGCATGCACCACTATGAGAAGCTTTGAAGTTAATTTTTGTATATGGTGTTAGAGGTTCTTTTGTATACAGTTATCCAGTTGTCCTAACACCATGTTACTGAAAACATTTCTTCCTTATGAATTGCCTTGATGACACCCTTAAGGAATATCAACTGACTGTAAATGTAAAGGAATAATGTTTGGACTCTCAATTCTGTCCCAATAATTTCTGTGTCTATCCTTATGCCACTACCACACTATCTCAATTTCAATGATTTTGAAGTAAGTTTTGAAATTAAGAAGTGGACATTCTCCATCTTTGTTGTTTTACAAAATTATTAGTTTGCTAGGGTTGCCATAACAAAGTACCATCTGGGGCTTTTAAACAACAGAAAGCTGTCATCTCAGTCAGATGTGGTAGTGCACACCTATAATCCCAGTACTTGGGAGTTAAAATTTTAAGACTAGCTTGCACTTCATAGTGAGTTCAAGGCTAGCCTGAACTACATATTAAGATCCTGTCTTATTTAAAAAAATGAATGAATGAATGAATGAATGAAAGCTGTCATTTCACAGGGTGGCTAGAAATCTGAAATCAAGGTGTTTCCAAGGTTGGATTCTTCTGGGTGCTATGAGGAACAATCAGCCTCTCTACTGGCTTCTGGTAGCTTCAGGCATTTCTTGGCTTGTAGAATTTCTCCCTTCACAATATCTTCACGTTATCTTTCCTCTGTCTCTATTTCACCCTTCCAAGGATACCAATCATATTGGATGAAATCCAACCATAATGATTACCTTTGCAATCGTCTTAACATAACTGGATTAGCTTCCTAAAGACATGTTCTCCAAGTAAGCTCACCTTCAGAGACGCATGTATTGAGTGTCTTAGGTTACTTTCTCATCACCGAGACACAATACCCAACACCCACAATGCAAAGGTAGAAAGCTTTATTTTGGACCACAGTTGATAGACGTTTCAGTCTGTAGTCTCGACTAGCATAGCAGAGAATAAACAGCTTATGGCATGGCAACAGGAAGCACAGCAAGATCAAGAGAGGAGAGAGATGGAAATAGACTTTGCCAGGCCATGCCCCCAGTGATCCACTTCCTCCAACCAGGCTTCACCTTCCAACATCACATTTAGCTATGAACTCATCAGTGGGCTAATCCACACTGATGAGTATACACCTCCATGATCCAGTTATCTCCCAAAAGCCCCACCTATGAGCATATGAGGCTTTGGGGGGGATATGTTGCTATAAACCATAACACTGGGAGTTAGCACACTATTTACTCATGTGTGAATTTTTTGCTCCTGTCCTCACAGATTAACAGAGTTAAAGGGTTAATGAAATGAACTTTAATAAACAGTTTGGCTTGCCATAGTGCTTACTCTGTGTCAGGCCTTTTAGCTGTCTATCACCTTAAGCACTTGGCCACCTCGTCAGGATTGTCGGGCCTTTTATACACATTAACTCCATCCTCACAACAGTAGTATGAGGCAGGTCATTGTCCTTCCTCTTTGACAGATTAGGAAACTGAGACACGGAAAGTTTACTAGGTCATGCATTTAGTAAGTAGCCGAGCTGGGATTTGAGTCCGGTACTAAAACTGTAACATGTAAAGCCAACATTTAGCCTTTTTAACTTTTTCTGTGGCTCCTGCTATGGCCCCAGGGGTCTTGATATTACTCTGCAAAAATTTTGAGTAAATTCTCTCATTCTCCTTTTTTTTTTGGTACCGGGGATTGAACTCGGGTCCTTGGCGCTTGCGCAGCAGGCAGCAAAACCACTGAGCTAAATCCCTGGCCCTAATTCTCTCATTCTCTATGGTACTGCTATCAGCTACTGCCAGTTGTCTGTGATGCTACTGTCCCCAGCCACCAAATCGTTTGCAAATTTGAGGTTTATCTTCTGGGGTCTGTGGACTAGTGGGTTTAGCCACATGTGGCTCCATAATGAGTTTCTGGACAGGTCTGTGAATGCTTTCCTGCCAAGGGCTGGGAGTGGATCTGGGGGCAGCAGTCAGTTGAACTGAACATGCCTTGGTGTTCCCACAGGCCTGGGGTATGCTGGATAAGATGGAGCAGATGAACCAGGAATACATGCTGGATGTCTTCAAGCCCTGCTTGGCCAGTCTGGTAAGGCAAGAGGCAGAGGGAATAAGTTGGTGGGCATCTGATCCAGGGGTCTCTGCTCCTACCCTCCAACACCCACAGCTGCCCACTACAACCAAGCACCTTGGTCTAGCTACTGAATTTTAGTTCCACCCCAGAATCTATATGGAGTTAATGTAATTCTCAAAGGAAAATCACTGTCATTATTGTCATTGTCACCATAGAAACCGCCTCTGTATGAGCATGACCTAAGTTCTGAGCTATGCTGAGCATTACAACAGACATTCATCACTGCAGCTCTGTGAAGTAGGGCCTTTCATTATCCCCCATTCTACAGATGAGGAAACTGAGGCTCAGGCCTCATGGTGGATAAGGGGCAGGGGCAGGGGCAGAGTTTGAGGCAGCTCTGTCTGATCCCAGAGCCTCAGCTGTTACACACTGTCAGATATGGAACCAGATGGAGCTAGGGTCAAATCCCAGGTCTGGCCACATGGCTGGGTCCATTCCTATAGATAAGAATGATATTTTCCACTCACCTGAGCACCTGTAAGAAGGATACTGCATTTGAAAAGTCTACCAGGAGCCAGGTGTATTGTGCATGCCTGTAATCCCAGCACTCAGGAGGCTGAGGCAGGAGGATCTCAAGTTGTAGGCCAACCTGGACTGCATACTGAGACCCTGCCTCAAAAAGGGAACCAGTATCCCCAGAGATGCTCAATCTATGTGCACTTCTCTTCCCTAGAAGCCCCAGAGCCTCCCCATTCACACAACCTCAGTACAGCTCTTGGGAGCTGTGGGGAGCCCCTGTCATTTGTTCTTTCGCTTATTTCCAAGTTAACTTCAACTGGGCACCTGTTTCCAGACCATACTTTGTGCTAGCGACTTCATATAGGCTGCCAAACAACCCTGCCAGGCAGAAACTGACATTCAGAGAGGATGAGATACTTGTCTGAGGTCACACAGCCAAGGAGTGGCCACCAAGCTAGGATTTCACTCCAAACCTGAGCTTATCCTACCCAGACAACATCTAGAACTCCCAGGGAGGAAGGCAGGTGGCTGAACCCTGGAGCATGAGCCCTCAGATATGAAAGAAGCTTCTTAGAAGGGACTTGAGCAGACCTAACCCTGACTTCTTGTCCCAGAACGTGCCCCCTGAGATGATGTCCATGGTCATAGACCAGTATATAGGCAGTGGCTCAGATGCACAACCCAGACGTGAAGACTTCCAGGAACTGGCTGGCAATATCTTCTTCAACATCCCTGCTTTGAATTTCTCAAGACACCTCCAAGGTAAGCCTGTCCCTGGCCACCTGCCCCACCTAGCTCCACTTGAGCCCAGGAGCTAGGGCATCACAGGCAACATGTATTGACAGGTGCAGATTCCCCCAATACCTTGAACCCCACACCCTTCTGCCACCCTAAACCCCTTTTTCTCTGGGATGAAGTATCATAATAGTGACAGCTGTCTCTAGAACAGCACCTTGCAGAGGAGAAAACAAAAGCTCAGGGATGTACTGTGACTTGTCACAAATCATACCACAGGCCCCATCACCAATTATCAGGGATTTTTTCAGTTCATGGGCAACTTTGTCCTGTTCTGGTTCTTTTCCTGGGAGAAGCTATGCTTCTTCCAAGGCTGGCAGCTAATCCCTGACACAACTCTAGATTAGCTCCAAATTCTGTTTTTTGTTTTGTTTTGTTTTGTTTTTTGGTACCAGGGATTGAACTCCGGTCCTTGCGTTTGCACAGCAGGTGGCAAAACCACTGAGCTGAATCCCAGGCCTCCAAATTCTTAACATTATAACCTTGAGCAAGACTCTACACCCACTCTGTGCCTTATTTTCCTCATTCGTAAAATGAAAATAATTAGAATCTAATCCAAAGGTTCTTATGAGGACTGAATGAAAGGTCACACATTCGGCACCCAGAGGGTGCTCAACACTCACCAAGAGTTCATAAATGCTTGGTGCTAATCATTGTGCCTTCACTGTTATTAGGATTAAGATAATCCTAATGATGTCACCATGAGTTTGTGTTGCCAAGGCTTCAAGATCAGGTCAGGCTATTAATTCCTAACTCCAGTCTTGGCTCTCTCTCTCTGCAGATTCTGGGGCCCCCGTTTTTTTCTATGAGTTCCAGCATGTACCTAGCTCTTTTGTAAAGATCAAGCCACCCTGGGTGAAGGCTGACCATGTGGCTGAGATCGTATTCATGTTTGGGGGTCCTTTCCTCATGGATGAAAACACCCTCCTGGGTAAGGACAGGCCAACAGACATGCAATCCCTAGGCTTCTATGCTCCAAGGGGCCAGGCTGGACTGGCAGGAACAGAGGTCTCCAGTCAGCACAGGGCCCCTTGGGTCCCCTCCAGGCCCCTCCTGATTCTAATCTAGGTCTGTCATTCCCACCAGCCTTTCCAGAGGCCACAGAGGAGGAGAAGCAGCTGAGCCTCACCATGATGGCCCAGTGGGCCCACTTTGCCCGAACAGGGTAAGTGAGTGAGTGAGTGAACGAGTGAGCGAGCAAGCGAGCGAGCAAGCAAGCATGCCTGACTTTGGGCCTGGGACAACTCAGATCTGCCCCCAAGAGGACAGCACAGGAGGCCTTGGTCCTCATTCATTCTTTCCACCCAGGGACCCCAATGGCGAAGGGCTGCCTCTTTGGCCCCGATTCAACCAGTGGGAGTAATACTTGGAGATCAGCCTCGTGCCACAGATCAGGCAGAAGCTGAAGAAGGCCCAGATGCAGTTCTGGACAGAGACACTCCCCAGCAAGATCCAACAGTGGCATCAACAGAAGCAAGGCAGGAAGGCCCCAGAGGAGCTCTGAGGCAAGGTCTGGGTTTTCTTGACTGGGGCCAACCCAAAGGGTGGCAGTGTCTCAGCCAGGTGGCCTCTCTCTACTCTTGCTAAGAGACTTTAACCTAAACTGGGCTGATGTGGGCTTGTGTCCCTTCATGCATCAGCCACTGCAGTACTGGCATGGTTCCCTTTTGAAATGTCACCAAGCTACTTCCCACCTCTGGGCCTTTGCACAAGTTCCTGCTTCTCCCTGAAGTGCCTTGCCCCCTTCCTTCCTGAAAGGCCTAGATCATTGGTCAAGCTCTTCCCCAGGAAGACTTTACTGCTTTCTCTGGGCCCTGTGGCCCTGAATGTGTGTCCATTACAGCACAACTCACCCTAAGCTCCCATTGTCTCTGTCTGAATCTTTGTCCTTCACAAAAGAAAATGGGGATCAACCTGACCTCACGCTGTCGCCCACACCAAGAGCAGAATCTGGCAATATCTGGACAGAGCAGAATCCCATAGCCCCATACTCACATGGTCTTCACCAGCTAGAACCTGGGGATCGAGCTCAGGACCTTACACTTCCCAGGCAGGCATGGTGCCACTGAGCTACATTCCCAGCCCACTCTCAGCCCTAATGTCTAGGCTCCTCACTCCCTTCCCAGCTGGAGGACCCAGGCTCTGGGAGAGTTCAACACAGCTTCCAAAGCTCCCATCAGAAACAGCAGTACAGGTCAAGGGAGGGTGGCCAGGCTCCTGGTCTACCCAGACTCCCCAGACCTTCACCTATGCCTTGTTCCCTACCGCCACCATTGTGCAGGGGTCCTATAAGTAGTGACAAATGGCAGCCCAGAGTTCTGGGAAAAGAGATTGTATCAGTTACAGCAGCAAGAGGGGCCTTGAAGGTACCTGGGACCTCTGAAGTCAGGCTTGGGACTGCCCCCGTGGAGGTCACCTGACATACAGGCAGATGGTAGAAATTCCTCCATTATCTCCCAGTTGGATCAGAGGCTCCAAGAGAACAGGCTCGGGTCAGAGCCCCTTCACCCACCCCCCTCCCACTCCCCACGCCGTACCCCACTCCAAGCACCTCTGCAGGCAACCAGGCCAGACCCTGACACTCAGCCTCGCTCTAGGCTGGAGCTACCCAAGAGCTTGGGCAGGTCTTTCCTATCACAGAGGACTTGGGTTCCTTGTCTATGTAATAAGGCTGGGCACGTTGAAACCAGGCAAAAGGCTGCAGGATCTGGCTGACCTATAGGGGTATACAGGACATCCAGAAAGGCACCCTAGAAGGGGATAAGCTGGATTTTGGAGGATAACCAGGAGTCCCCTAGTTTGACTGCACAAGGAAGGGCATTCCACATAAATCAGTGATGGCAAATCTTTCAGCGTTTTCAATGACATCAAACAGCCACCTGTGGCACGAGTGCCATAGGTTCACCACCACTGACACAGAGGAAACAGCATAAGCAAAACAGCTTCACTCCCACCCATTTCCTTTGTTCTGTCACTGGCAAATATATTACATTTCAACTATTGTCAGACCAATAACAGATTGTAAACACATTACTGTATTTCATATAATTGCCTTTTAAATCTGTTAAGAGAAAATACAGATAGTACAATTGTAGCTATGGGGCTACTCCCCTCCACTCACCTGAATCTGGGTAATGTCCCAGGACCAAGCCCTAGACCTTTGTCCTAAGGCTCACTACCCAGAGGCAGAAACAAGAAAAGAAAGACCCCTGAGTCTGCCCTAGAAAATTCCAAAATTCAAAACCAGGAGTCATGTGTGACAGATCCCCCTGAATGACCAATATAACCTTTCTTCGGAGCTCATTGAAGGTTTGTACATATGTACTGCATCTCATATGTCCAATTATAATAGTGAATTATAAGAAAGGACGTGTGCAATAGACACAGGTGACATGACTCAGCACCATCAATCACATTGTCAATCATGCTCTGGCAGTCCCATGAGAGGCACCCTACATCCGACACATTTTAAATCCCTCAACTCAGTACCTTCAACACTCATGGCATTTTCCTTTCCACTGGTGTGATCCACTCACTCTGAGCGTACTGTTGACTAAATAAACTTTGCTGCTTTTTCCTTACCACTGCATGCCATATCCAGTTCTTTGTTCGTAGCATATAAGAACCTAGAACCTGTCCAGGACCTCATCACCCATGGTAACATATAGATGGTGAGCAACTAAGTCAACTTGGAATCTACATCTGTCAGACTCAGAGGTCAAAGCCCATTCCACATCATTGCCTGTATTCCCTTTGTGCAGCCAAGAAACTTATGAATGTTCTCAAGAAAACTCTTGCAAGATATGTGGAAAAATAACATTTGGCTTCCCAAGATCTGATTCTGATCCCTAAGATAATGGTACGGCAGGGCACCTGGCTGACCTGGTTGCCTATTCAGTGTTCCCTGGCCCATGTTCACACTGGATGAGGCCATATGTAACCTGGACATCCCATTGAGGTGCCTTCCCAGGCACAACTGCTTTTTGGTACCGGGGATCGAACTCAGGAACTTGTGCTTTTGAGGCAGGCAGCAGAACCACTGAGCTAAATCCCTGGCCCCACAACTGCTTTCTATATGGGCCAGGTGAAAGGTTGTTCCTTCTCTGGGGAGAGGTGGCAAAAGCAGGGGCCACCTGTTGGCAAGACTGGCTCATAAGGCCCACGCAGAACTGGCCAAGGAACGGTACATCTTGGTAAGGGAGACTATAGGTGGCTGGCTACCAGGACTAGAGGCCCTTCCCCTGCTAGACCTGTGCTTTCAGATATACTCCAGGATGCTGGTTAAGAGCTTCAGCAGAGAAAGAATACGTTCCTTTGTTTCCTGTAGCCTAAGTTCCATACTCCTGGTGATGTAGTCACAACCCACAGGGGAGCCCAGCAGGAGATGATGAAAAGAGAAGATGAGTCAAGATGGGCCAGATAGAGCTGCTGGTAGATCTTACTTCCCCAGATCTGCCTTTCCTATCCTCTCATAGCTATCTCTTTAAATCCTACATTGAGCTGGGTGTCATGGTGCATGCCTATAATCCAGTGCTCGGGAGGCTGAAGCATGAGTTCGAAGCCAGCCTGGGCTTCATAGTGAGTTCAAGGCCACCGCGGACTACATAGTGAGACCCTGTTTCCAAAAAAAAAAAAAATATCGCACTGAAAGCCGGGTGTTGTGGGCCATGCTTGTAATCTCCACACTTAGGAGACTGAGGAGGATCGCCGGGAGTTCAAGACCAGCCTAACTACACAGCTAGAACCTGTTTCAACTGCCCCCACAAAAAAAAAAATCCCACACTGTGAATCTTCTACGAAGCTCATGAAAGAAAATATGAGCTGGGTGACATGGTGCACACCTGTAAGCCCAGCCCGGAGACTGGAAGATCAAAAGTTCAAACCCAGTCTGGGTACCTTAGGGATTTAAGAACACCCTGTACCACACAAACAAACAAACCATCTGTACTACACACATACTTTTTTTCTTATTGTTATTGCCGAAACAACACGGTTTAACATTTATGTGTATTAGTAATTTTAAGTACTCTAGGAGTGATTTAAAGTATATTGGAGGATAAATAAATAAAAATATATTGGAGGATATATGTAGTTTACATGAAAATATACCATTTTATGTAAGAGTCTTGAGAATCCTCAAATTTTGATATAATGGGAGGGGGAGGTCCTCCTGGACCCTTTCCTCCATAGAGTGTTTTACTTTCTCTTTCTTTTTCTTTTATTTCCACCACCACTACCACCATGGACCTGGGAATTGAACCTAGCACTTAATTATATCCCTACCCCCACTCCTCTTCTTTTGAGACAGAGCTTGTTAAATCATTAAATTGCCCAGGCTGGGCTCAAATTTGGTGATCATCCTGCCTCAGTTTCCTAGAGTGCTGAGATTATAGGTGTGTCACTATGCCTGACCTGCTTTACTTTCTTTATCTCACTTAACCTTCACTACAATCTTAAGAGATCTGCTCTATTCTTATCCTGATTTTGCAGATGATAAAATGGAGACTGGCAGAAGTTAAGTGATTTGCCCAAAGTCACACAGCTCATGCATGACAAGGCCGGGATTCAGATTCATGCAGCCTGGCTCACACTAAGCCAGCTGCTGCTGCAGAAGCTGTGGGACATGTCACTACCTACTCTGAGCTTATTACATCCTGTAGCTGTAACATTTCTTCCCCCATTCCCTCCAGGTGTTTTGGAGTGAAGCAAAATAAGGCGTTAGGTAGTGATTGTGTAAACAGTTTCTTGTATGTTTTGGACAGTCTCTCAGAACACATTTCTCGGTCAAAGGCTGTAGGCAATAACCTTAGGAGACATCCACATGATTGCCACCAGGTGAAGACATCTACTTTGCCAACAGCAAGGGTATAACAAAGAAGGGACACAATATGCCATCCTAATCCCCAGGCCACAGTGAACCTAAAGTCTCCAAGTCAAATCAGCATACAAGGATTTTCTAGAAAATGGCCTGAGAACATGTCCATAATTCAGATTCTTTGATTCTCTTTCCCTGTATCCCCCATGCTCCTGCGGCTCCAAATTTCAGGCAGAATCTTTGTTTGACTAATTCCTTCACATGGCTGACTCCTCCTCATCTTTTACTTAGAGGATTAGTAAAGAGAAACTTCCTTCCCATTACATGGCCCTGGGCTCACTAGGTGCCCCTCCAGATCTCACAGTTGCTTCTAGGTCGGCTCCCCAAGTTCGACTGGAAACCCATGAGCTCGACCACCACACTGTTGTCCTATCCTGGGCACGGGGCCTCCTGCTCCACAGTGATCCTGGCTGAGAGAGCCAGAGCAAGAGAAAGACTGCAGAAAGGACTGGACAAGTCAGAGGGGAGCAGGATGGCCCAAGGCCCTTAAATTCACAGAAAGGAAACCTGGAGGCTGAGGGGTCAAGTGATCCAGTGTTTGACTCTGATCTTGGCACCTACTGTATGCTCAGAACTTGACTCACACCTGCCTAGCTTTAAGCCATTGCCCACACACGAGCAAAGTGGGTAAGGGTTACATCTATTGTGACCTGTTGTCAAAGGCAAAAAACAAGACTGGGTTGGTCAGAAGCTGGTCATAATTCCTCCTGCCCCCTCCTGCTGCTAGGAATGAAGGGAAGATAAAAGTGGCAGTCACAGCTACCATCAGCATGTTGACATCACTTTGGCCCGGGGCAGGAGCTGACTGCAGCATGAGGTGGATTCGGAGTTGGAGGCTTGCCCTCTGCTTGGTGGTACACACAGCCTTAGGTAAGACCTTCAACCATTCCTGAGAGGGTCAGACCCAGCTCAGCCTCTCCTGGGACAGCAGGGAAGGAGCATTTAGACAAGGCCTGGGCAGATGGGCAGTGCTGGCTCAGGGACTAATCCACCCATCAGCTGGAAATTTGAACAAGACCTTTTGCTTCTTCTCTGAGCCCTGGGGCTGCTCTGTAAAGTGTGCATGTGAAGGAGATCTGACTCCCAAAACCAATAAGGAGATCCAAGAATATGGCCTGTCCTTGTCCCTCCTTCTTTCCCTCTTCCTTCCTTCTCCTTAGCAGGAGTCCTGCTTCTGCCTCCCTCTCTTCTACATGGACTTCTTTACTGCCTCTTTTTTTAAAAACTAGTATTGTATTTTGGACTGTGAAAACCACATACCACATTAAGAAAAGTTTGGGTATAAGATATATATACAGCAAGATGCATATATCTTAACTGTACAATTATATATTATATTAATTATATCACACATATACACAAAATACATTATAATTTTGTGTGTGTGAGTGTGGTACTGGGGATCAAACTAAAGACCTTCCACTTGTGAGGCAGGAGCGGTGCCACTGAGCTAAATCCCCAGCCCCACTCAAAATATAGATACACAATGTAACCACTCTCAAGATCTAGCATCATATTCCCAGCATCCTATGTACCTCTTCCTAGTCAATACCTTCAAAGTGACCACTCCTCTAATCTCTATTATAAATTATTTTTGCATATGTAAATACATGACTTTAATTTGAGGGGAACTTTGCTAAAACTACTTTTAGCATTTTGGTGCACTTTCTTTAGTCTTTCTGTTGTACATTTATATACAGTTATAATGTTAGCTGTATACAATTTTACACTCTGCTCTTTTTTTTAACTTAAAATCTTACTGAAGGCAGTTTATAGTTATATTTACTTTGCTTGGTTCCTAGATAAATATGATGTTCTCAGTATCCACTAGGGATCAGAACAGTCATTGTCTTAGTGATTCTGACATCAAGGAAAGACTGAGAAATGGAATTATTGAATCAAAGCACGTAAATGTTTCATGGCCCTTTATACATTTGTCCAAATTATTTTCCCATGATGTTGTATAAACTTATTATCCACCAACAGTGTCTGCAAATGTCCTTTTCAGTATATCTTCACCAGAATTGGATATCATTTTTTAATTTTTCAGGTAGTAGCTGTAATTTGAGCTTTTTTTTTCTTTGTACATGTTTGAAGTACATAACGACTATATTCATCATGGGAGTTGGTACAAGTACATATCTTTTTTAAAAAAACACTAGCTTATTTACTTGGTGCTCTTTTTTTTCATTGTAGTATTTTTTTCATTTTGTTTTTGTTTTGTGAGACAAGTCTCACTGTGTAGTCCAGGCTGGCCTGGAACTCATAGCAATCTTCCTGCTCAGCCTCCTGAGGGCTAGGAATACAAGCATAAGCCACCATGCATAGCCAATAGCATATCTTAATTCTTTTAACTCCAGCTTTTAAGTAACACTTTATGACTACTAATAAGAACTGTTTTCATAAGTGTTTCCATGTCACCTCTGCATAGCCAATTGGGATCAGACCCAGGCCACGGAAGCTCTTGTTCAGGGGAAAAGTACACTTTGCCATATTGTTCCCCCACATGCACCTAAAGCTGGTGGTTAGACAGAGCAGAGCTCTGATGGTTTAGAGCAAGCTTTGATGTGGGTTATCTCCAAATGACCTAGGCAAATTACCTACCTATTTGAGCTCCTGTTTCCATATCTGTGTAGTACCATTTTCCCTATTCAGTTTTAGGGAAAATGGGGTGAGATAATACAGAGCCGGGCTATAACAAAAGGTTCATAAATGACAGCTGTTGGCTATTGCATCAAAAATGGCCCTCAGATTCAGAAAATCCAGGTGACAGACCTTAGCCTTCTGGATGTGTCCTATGAGACTTGAGACCACAGGCTGGCCACTGCTCTTCTGCTGAGAGGCCTCGGGCCTCCCCCACTTCTCCCAGGGCCAGTGCCAGACCTGCATGCACAGAGGAGGTACGAGAATGTCCCTTGCCCTACTGACCTGCCTCCATCCCCAAGAGCCATTGTTACAGTCACTCTTTTGTGTTCAGATGTGGCTTATGTAAGACCTGGGGAGACCTGGGGATGTGGGCAGGAGGTATTTTGGGGCCACCTGCAGCTGGGAGCATGAGAGTGTGCTCTATCACACCAATTCCAAATGCTGTTCCCAAAAGCAGTCGCAACAAAATCTCCTGGAGAGATTTACAAATCTAATTTCTTTTTTTTGGTACTGGGGATCGAAGTTGGGTCCTTGCACTTGCGCAGCAGGTGGCGAAACCACTGAGCTAAATCCCCAGCCCATAAATTTAATTTCTTGACACAATTCTGAGACTCTCATTCGGAGTGGGGTAGGGCCTAGGAATCTGTATTTTCACAATGATTTCTCCTAATGATTTTGATCCACAGCCAAGCACAATAATTATTTGGATCACATTTGATTTCTGTCACTTTGCACCATGAGCTCTGAGAGATAGGTGCTCAGACAGAACGATTCTGTTTTGAGAAGGAAGGTGAAAAATAGACACGGGTTCTTCAAGGACATGGACGTGAGGTCTCACCAATCCTTGGCAGTAGGAGTAGGACAGGATGACTGCCTAGAAAAAAGCAAGTACCAATAGGTAGATGGCTGAATTCAACTTATTTTTTTTGAGACAGAGTTTCGCTATGTAGTTTAGGCTGGCCTTGAACGCACAGTGATCCTGCTACTTGAGCCTTCCAAGTCTGTATCACCACACTTAGCTCTCAACTTGATCTATTTCATATCTATTTCCACACTTGGCTATGATGTGGGTATGGTTTTACTGTGTGTGTAATATGTGAATGTATCCTGTGGAGAGATATGGTGTAACCTATATAACTGTACAGTACTTATATATCTATGCATGCATGAAGTTGTGCATGTGTTTGACTCTTGTATTTCCATATCTTTTTTTCTATTCTTTTTGTTTGTTTGTCTTTATTTTTGGTGGGGTTTTTTTTTTTTGATGTTTTGAAACAGGGTCTCACTATGTAGTTTAAGCTGGTTTTGAATTCACGATGTAGCCCAGGCTGGCCTCAAAACTCAGCAATCCTCCTGTCTCAGCCCCCTATATGCTAGGATCACAGGTGTGTGCCACCATACTCATTTTCCTTTCTTTTCTTATTCTTTGTGTGTGTGGGGGGGTAGTGGGCACTGAACCCAGGGATTTAGTGATGAGCTATATCCAAGGCCTTTTTTATTTTTTATTTTGAGATGGGGTAAGGCTTGGCTCAAACTTGTGATTCTCCTGCCTCAGCTTCCCTGAGTTCCAGATTATAGGCAACTGCCACCATGCCCAGCTCTGCATGCTTCTTTGTAGATGAGCTGTGTTCATGTACATCTTCTTATGTAGAAATATGATAAATTTTTACATGGAGGTGACCACTGCTGCAAGTGTGTATATAAGTGAGAATATAGCCAGGCGAGGTGATGCATACCTATAATCCCAGCACTCAGGAGGCTGAGGCTGGGGGATCGCCATGAATTTGAGGCCAGCCTGGGCTATACACTGAGCTCAAGGCCAGCCTGAACTACATAAGAGATCCTATCTCAAAACACAAAGTGAGGGCCGGGGATTTAGCTCAGTGGTTTCACCACCTGCTGTGCAAGGGCAAGGACCCAAGTTCAATCCCCCGTACCAAAAAGAACAAAAAAACAAAAAAACAAAACAAAGTGAGAATATATATATATATATATATATATATATATATATATATCTGATTCCTTCCCAGAAATAAACCAGGCATATATTTGCAACAAGAAGTGTAGCCAGATATGGTGGCCCATGCCTGTAATCCCAGCTACTCTGGAGGCTAAGGCAGAAGGGTTGCCAAGTTCAAGGCTACCCTAGACTACCTAATAAGATTCCATCTCAAAAAACAAACAAAAAAGCTAAGAGTGATGATGAATGCCTATAATTTCAGCATCCTGGAAGGCCAAGGCAGAGGATTGCAAAGTTTGAGCCCAGCCTGGACAATTTAGGGACTTACTGAGGCCCTGTCTCAAAATTTAAAAATTAAAAAAAGACAGGATGGGGCCGGAGATTTAGTTCAGTGGTTCCACTGCCTGCCTTGCAAGCAGTTTGATTCCCCGTACCAAAACAAAAAACAAAAGATGGGATGTAAATTAGTGTGAATGGCCTGGGTTCAAGTCCCAGTGCCATTAGAAAGGAAAGGAAAGGAAAAGAAAAGAAGAAGAAAGATGAAAAGAAGTGTAGCTGTATTGATATCAAACAAGTGACAGTCTTTTTTTTTTCCAATACCAGGAACCAAACTCAGGACCTTGCGCTTACGAGGCAGGCACTGTGCCACTAATCCCTAGCCCTTTTGTTTTGTTTTTTGAGACAGGGTCTTGCTGTGTAGTCCAGCCTGGCCTAGAACTCACTATGTAGCCCAGGCTGGCCTCAAACTCACAGTGATCTTTCTGCCTCAACCTGCTGAGTGTTGGGATTATAGGTGTGCGCCATCAAGCCCTGCAAGTTTTTGACTGTTGTGAAAAGTAACAGTGGCTCCCATGGCAGATGGGCCAGAGTCTCATCTGTGGCTCAGAGCAGTTGAGCCAGGATGACCATTTTTCCCTCTCTTCCCAGGTGCTGTGCATGGCCAGGAGCCTCTGGTAGTCACCAAATATGGGACCCTCCAGGGAAAGGATGTGCACGTGGGGAAGACACTCCTCCATGTCTTCCTGGGAATCACTTTCTCCAAACCTCCTGTGGGTGCCCTCAGATTTGCTCCACCTAAGTCCCCAGAGCCCTGGAAAGGAGTCAGACATGCCACCACCTACCCTCCTGCGTAAGAGCCCAAAGTTTGGGAGGTGGGAAGACCCTGAGGACCAGTACCTGCCTCTGGGTGGGGCTTTGAACAACTCAGAGATAAACATACTGTGTGAGCATAGGCAGGCCTGTGGCCCCCTTTGGGCCTCAGTTTCCACACCTGAATAACGAGATGGTTTTTCCAAATGATGTTGAAGGCACTGATAACTGGTCATGGTTTTGCACAGGAGAGCTCCAGGTAAGGGGGAAGTAGTCTCTGTTTCCAGGACCTTCTGGGGCACTGAGTTTCCTAAGTGCAGCTGAGAAGCAGCACTCCCTCCCTCCCTAGCCTCCTGAGCAACCCCAGAGCTCTCCGCTCAGGCTTGAGCCTGGAAACAAATACACAAGGCACTGCCAGTACTTCCCTGCAGAGGGAGCTCCAAGATGGGAACATACAGGATCAGTTTCAATTTTCAAGCCCCAGGGTTTTGCTGCCACCTCCAACTAGTCTGAGTCACACAGGAAGATTGGGGCAATGACCTCCCTTTGAAACACTGAGCTTGGCAGTTTATCCAGAACAAATGTATTTACTGTTTATTTAGATCATTGAGTAATCAATCCACTGCCCAAAACATTCTGTGGCAATCATTAACAGTGTTTATAACAATGTTTAGCATCAACTGATTAAAGGATAGGGTTTAGAAAAATGTCTATTGTGAGAACCTTCAGTATCAATGTCAGCTGCTATAGAAAAAAAAAAGCCTACAACTCCCAGTTGTATAGGAACTCTGTAATGAATACATTCACTGGTGGGAGAAAAAATACTGCAACTCCCACCTGTGTATGTAGTTGTTAAGAAAAGGTCTCCACTGTTAGAACATGACCAGCTGTGGGGCCAGGGAAGTAGTGTGGTGGTAAAGCACTTGCCTAGGATGTAAAGAGCCTCTGGGTTCAAAAAAAGGAACATTACCATTACTAGAATACCAGGATATTGTTAGAACACTGGTTGTTGAGTGTACCCCAAGCATTCTGAAGATTCCACAACCATTATTTAGAGCATTGTTTTTGTTTGTTTGACTGATTGATTGATTGATGGGTTGATTGGTTGTAGGCTGGTTGTTTGCCTTGAATTTACTATGTAGCCCAATCTGGCCTTGAACTCACAATGCAATCCACTTGCTTCAGCCTCCCAAGGGCTGGGATTACAGGCATCCACCACCAGGCCTGGCTATTTAGAACATTCTGTGACTACTACTTGGAACGAGTGACAGAACATGAGATGACCATTAGAACCCTGAGGATCTGGTGTCCATTGCATAGAAGAATGTGTGTCAGTTTTTGGAATACAGGCCCTGCACTGACATGATAAGGGCTATTTGAAACAGAGTGTCAAGTGTAAAGATTTGTGGATTGCTTAGAACAGGGGCATGGTCAATTACCTTGAGGGCTGCCAGGGTTAAGTAAAACAGCAGCAGGGACTTAGCAGAATGGAGATCACTGTTGCCCATGACAAGAATGCCTTTTGTAGTGAGATGAGAACAGAAGCCTCAGCTGTTCATTTATTTTTATTAGTACGTTTGCAGTACATAATGACATTCATCGTGAGGAGTGCTACACGTACATAATATATCTTAACTTTTTTTACATCCCTTCTCTGCCCCTCTCTTCCCCATTCTTCTGCTTCAGCTGCTCCCTCTTGGCCAAAGAGTACTGGTTTTCCTAGTGAGGGGCCGGATGTGGCTTATCAGACAGTACCTTATCAATAACATAAGCTGCTGCCAAGTAATGAAGCAAGGAAGACCTAGGACAATGTATAGAAATACAGATACATGGCCTGCTGGAGGCCTTGAAGAGGCCAGGTGAGGGTGGAGGGAAAGAATACCAGGTAAAAGTCTGGCCTAGGGGAAAGAGAACAAGGACAGTTGCTGGGGAAGGTGGGTGGAAGAGGAGAGCATTGGATAAGGCAGGTTTCCGTGTTGTTGGGAAAGAGAGGGGGCTGTGATGCCCTGGGGATGGGACCGGGAAAAGGAAGAGGAGGAACAGGCAGACAGGTTTCCTGCACCCAACCAAACGGGTCCAGTCAACCTTACAATAGCCACCTTAGGGGCTGGGCCAGCAGGAGGAAAAGGGTGAGGTGGCCAGGCAGCCCATACTCCACAGATACTCAATGTCTACACAATACAGGGCACTGGGTTGGGTGCCAGGCCTCAGATGAATCCATGTCCATCCCTGCTCACAGGTGTGCTTGGCCACTTGTGGAGAAAAATAACCAACTGAAATGACTCTGACCAGTACTACGGTCAAGAGGGGACAGAGCTTTGGAGGACATAAGATGGAGAAGTGCCCAGCACCACCCAAGCTGGCCTCAAACATGAACAGGAGCTTACTGGGAAGAAGGCATTTGACAAAGACAACAGCAGTACAGAGGCTTGGAGGTGGGAAGCAAGTAGCCATATGTATCTGGATAAAGGGGATTCTAGGGAGGCCCACCTGCCTCTCAACCCTGCAACTCAAAACTAGTGGAGGCCTCTGGGGATGTAAGGGGTAGATGCTGCCTGGATTTTGCTTGTGGTTCTATCCCCTACTGCGGCCCATGGATTGAAACTATTCTCCCCACTGCCGTTGAGCCATTGTCCAAAGTCATACTGTGGGGCCAGGGATTTAGCTCAGTAGTTCCGCCGCCTGCCTCGCAAGTGCAAGGACCCGAGTTCGATCCCCGGTACCAAAAAAAAAAAAAAAAAAACAAAGTCATACCGTGCCCGCAGGTGTCTTCAGGAAACCTGGGGGCAGGCGACCTCCATGTACTTCAACACGCGGAAATGGTACAAGTGGCTGCGCTTCAGCGAGGACTGCCTGTACTTGAACGTGTACGCGCCAGTGCGCGCGCGTGGGGATCCTCCGCTGCCAGTGAGTACTCGGTCTCCCACTCCTCGTCGTCCCACTCCGCCCCGCTCAGGCCTCGGCCTTCCTTGCTCAGGTGGTGGTCTGTTTCCCGGGAGGCGCCTTCCTCGTCGGCTCCGCTTCCACCTACGAACGCTGTGAGTTCGCCGCGTGCGAAAAAGTGGTGCTCGTGTTTCTGCAGTACCGGCTCGGCGTCCCGGGATTCCTGAGGTGGGCGGGGCCGGACGCAAGGGGCGGGGCCTCCTCTGTACGGCATCTCCGGGTGGAGGAGGCGGGGACTGGCGGCAGTGGAGAGGCGTGGCCCAGGGAACAGCCACTGGGAAATGGGTGGTAGAGGCTGGGCCTGATACTTACTGGGAGAGGCGAGCCTGGATACTTTTTCAGTGGGTTGAGCCTAACGCTAACTAAAGAAGGTGAGGTTGCAGGACTGAGTCTCAGAAGGTAAAGGTAAAGGGGAACAGGGTGGGTTGGGAGCCTTCTGCATCCCGACTATTGAAGTTTGAGACCCTGACCTTAAATCCCATGCACCCAGCACTGGTGACAGCCAGGCCCGCGGGAATTGGGCGCTGCAGGACCAAATGGCGGCTCTGAGCTGGGTGCAGGAAAACATCGAGGCCTTTGGTGGAGACCCGGAGAGCGTGACCCTGTTTGGCCAGTCCGCGGGCGCCATGTGCTTCTCAGGACTGGTCAGTGCAATGCCCTGATGGAGCAGCAGACACAGGCCTGCATGTTCCCACAATTGTATCCTCTCCACTGCATGGACATATGTGCAAATTCGAGTGTACAGGAAAATGCCAGCCCGCAGACCTGCCCTCATCCTGCCAATTATACCACTGTTCACAGCTAAGGGTGTCTGCTCTGTTCAGGGACAGCATTGATGACAAAATGGGGGGGGGGCGATGGTGACACTTTGGATACTCAGTGAATTCCCCATGGGCACACAGCACCTCTTCTCTTGCCTTCCCACTTTCTCCCAGAGTTCTATCCCCCACCACGGACCAAGCCTGGGAGTTAGGGGCCAGGGTTGGAGATCCAGCTTTGACCTTTATACTCTTGAAGGACTGCTGATGTGAGGAGTATGTAGAGCATAGGTTAAATGGTCCCCCGCTGAAAAGTGAGCAGTAACCACATTATACATGGCCTTGCAGGCCACAGTAATAATAATACTCCAACACATGAACACTTCCTGAATGCCAGGCACTCTTCTATGCACTTTACATCTATTCCTTCATTTAATTCTCTTAATAGTCGCATGAGAAAAGTATTTTTCCCATTCTACAGATGAAGAAACTGAGGCCCAGAGAAATTGAGCAACTTTATCCAAAGTGCACTGGAGAGCAGGGACAGCTTTTTAGTAGGAAAGTGATATAATCAGATGTGCATTTAGAAAGGTAGCTCAGCCTGCTGCATGGGATCAAGTTGGAAAGAAACTGAAACAGAGAGTTGGAGACAAACTGAGAGAATGGTAGGGCCAGGGAAGCAGAATTTATCCCAGAGGAGATAATGGCAGCTGGTTTCAAAATAGAGGCAGAACAACAACAACAAAAAATTAGAGGCAAAGATGAGCATGGTGCTGCATGCCTGTAATCCCAGCACTATGGGGGGGGGGGGTGCTGAGGCAGGAAGCCGTATGGACAGAACTAGGGCAGTTGGGGTAGATAGGAAGAGCAAAGTATCCCTACTTGTGTATCTCATGGGTGCCTTGCTCCCCACCCCTACAGATGATGTCACCCCTAGCTCAGGGTCTCTTCCATCAGGCCATTTCCCAGAGTGGCACTGCAGTACTTAAAACCTTCATCACTCAGGACCCGCTGAAGGTGGCCAAGGTGGGTATCTCTCCTCCCTCAGGACTGAACAAGAGGGGACAGGATGGGAGCATCCATGAACACACTTCTCTCGACAGAAAGTTGCTTCCCTGGCTGGCTGCAGCCACAACAACACAGGAATCATGGTAAACTGTTTGAGGGCTCTATCAGGGGCTCAGGTGATGCGTGTGTCCAAGAAAATGGTAAGTAGAACATTCTGGCTGCCCACAGGCTACAGAAACCTCAATGACTTCCTCAAGGAACCTGTCTGAGGAGCACACTGGGGAGACTTCCTTTAATTCTGATCCTCTCCACTCCCCCACAGAAATTCTTCCATGCCAACATGCAGAAAGAACCTCAAGAGGTAAGCTGGCCACATTCTGAAATTTGAGTATTTATGGAACCCTATTGTGTGCTAGACACTCAGGATACTTGGAGAATTGCTCAGGCCAAGATCCCTTCCCTAGTGGAACTGATGTTCCAGTGAAGAGGGACAATAGCCCAATCAATCAGTCATCTCCTTAGAAAGTGATAAGTGAATATCAACAAATAGAGAAGGTAAGGGGGTCAGGCATAATGCAAGGGATGAAATTTTTTTCTTTTTTTTTTTCTTTTTCTTTTTAGGAATGGAATTTTAAATAGAATGGATAAGTGGGGTGTGGTGACACAGCCAGTAATCCCAGTACTCTCAGAGGCTAAGGCAGGAGGATCATAAATTCAAGCCCAGCCTGGGCAACTTTGAGACTCAGCAGGATCATGTTTCAAAATTTTTTAAAGGTGGGAGGAGGGGCCTGGAGTTCAATCTCCAATACCAGAAAATAGATAAATAAATAAAATGGATAGTGCAGGCCTCATTGAAGAGATAATTTGCAAATATTTTCAAGAGATGAGGGAATGAGTCATATGGATACCTGAGGCACACATCACAAATCTGAGTATCCTAGTCCTGTCCTGGCCCTTCCGACAACCACTTTCCAAAGGGTCACCATGGCCAGTCCCCATTTTTTTTCCCAAAGAACCTAGGTTAGAGCAGTCCTGGAGGACAACCTGCTGACTATACACCCAAGGTCATGGTGACCCTGTGTGGATATGTGGGGAGACTGGCTAGAAATGCCCTGGCCTTGCAGATTATATGGTTCCTGAGCCCTGTGGTGGATGGTGTGGTGTTCCTGGATGACCCCGTGGTGCTCCTGATGCAGGGGCAGGTTTCACCTGTGCCCTACCTTCTAGGTGTCAACAACCAGGAGTTCCATTGGCTCTTGCCCTATGTGAGTGAGTGGGAAGGATGCTCATCACTTTGGGGTGGCAAAGGAAGCTTCTTGAGCCTTGCTAGGCACCAGATTAGCTCCCAAGGGTCCCTCTGAGGACACACAAATGCTTAGGAATCTCCTTTGTTCCCTGTGCATGGAGAACTGGCAAGGAATGATGGGAGGGAGGGGGGAAAGTTGGCCTCTTGGAAGTTTGGCGGTCCCAAATTCTCAGATCATAGTTTAGATAGTTTATAGTGTCCATCCCTGAGCCTCAAGGCTATGATAAACCCTGGGGCCCTCTTTTGCTCCTGAGTCAGGGCAGATGCCCCAGCTCAGGATGGACACTCCCAGCCCCACTTTAGTTCTAGACCAGGTGGCAGTGACGAACAGGGAACTGGAGGATTCGACATGGTTATGGACCTTTTCTGGGCTGTGTTCTCTGCCTGAGAATTCTCCATGCAGATGGGCAAGATCTCAGGCCTAATCCCCACCTGGGTCCTTGTCTTGTGAGCAGATCTTGAAGATCCCACTTGACCCACGCTTAATGAAAAAACAAAACCTCACCAAGCTTCTCTGGAGCACCAGCACCCTGTTGGTAAGGGCCCCAGTGGGCAGGGGTGCTCAGTTTGAACAGTGCTGACCCTTAACTTTTTTTTTTAACCTAGTAGCTGCCCTTTGCAAAGGGCCCTCACCAGGGATGGGGTCTTTCTTGAAGGTCCCCACAGGGGTTTGGCATAGGATCAGATAGAGGCTGATGGGAACAGTCCCCAGGCATCCTCAGGGTCAGGGGAGGTAGTTTTTATGCAGCTAAAACAGGGGTAAGAATCAGCCAAAGGAAGCTATCTCTGGAAGCCCCCATTTCCCAGAACTCCTAGAGGACTAAGCCTGGGTCCAAGTCACTGGTGTGTCCATCTCTGGCCCAGCTGGTATGGTAGGCATCAGGGTGAGTGTGGCCTCTCCACCCAGAATATCACCAAGAAGCAGATACCACTCCTGGTCGAGTACCTGAGAGACATCCATAAGTATGACTGGAAGATGGTCCAGAACCATTTGATTGACCTAGCTGGAGATGGCACCTTTGTGTATGCCACATTGCAAGCTGCCCGCTACCACCGGGGTATGGGGGAGTTACCAAGAGTGACCACATTGGTTCCCTCCACCCTCCCCTCCAGCTCTGCTGCTTTCCAGCTGGGCTCACCAACTGTCCTCCCACTCTCTCTACATTTCTGGGCTCCAAGATGCATAGAGGTAGCCATTGATCTCATGAGAGGAAAGACTGTTTCCTACAGACAAGAACAGAACCTTAGCCAGCCCATATGAGAAAGCTAGGGTCATAGGGAAGACTTCTTGGTTCAGAGGACAGGCTAAGGGGCAACTTGAAAGTCTTATGTAGGTTGGCTGGGGATTGGGAATATATGGCTGGAAAGGGCAGACACTGAAGACCCTTAAATGCCAGGCCAAGAAAGAAAGGTTCAGAGGAGAGAAGAGGAAGGCGTCCATGATCCTTGCCACAATCATGTGAATTAGCTTTTAGTATGCTCACTCTTCAGACAAAGAACTCAGTGAGGTTAAGTGACTTGCCTAGGATCGCAAATCTAAGTAGTACAGACAGGATTCAAATCTGTTCCCTTGACTTTGAAGCCAAAGCTCTTTTCTCTGCTTAATGTAGGTGGGTGGGATTCATAGGGTAGGTGGGAGGCCCAGGCTGGAGCTTTTCCTGCAGCTCTCTTCAATTTCCCTGTTCGTAGACACTGGCTTCCAAGTCTACCTGTACCAGTTTCAGCACCATGTTCCCTCAGGCAAAATTATCTAACCTCGAAATGATGGGGCAGACCATGGGGATGAGATTGGTTTCATCTTTGGGAAACCCTTCTCCAAAGGTGCTAAAGCCCCACCTGATGCCCCCACTATGTGTCCAGTCTCCCAGCCTGTGCAGGCAGACCCCTCTCTTCACTAGTGTCTGGGATGCTGGCAAATGAAAGTCTGGGAGGTCAGCACCCATTCCTCTCTCCCAAATAACATATCCTATTCTGTCCCCAGTTAAAGAGAAGGCACTCAGCCTCTGGATGATGAAATACTGGGCCAATTTTGCCCGCACAGGGTGAGTCTGGTCCCCCAATAGATCTGGGCAGCGCTAGACCTGAAGGTTGGCTATTTTAGGTATCTGCCTGTGCATATCCACAGGAACTACCCAGCCAACCCCACCAGAGTGTCCCTTCCCTCACCTCTCTCACTTAGTCATGAGATCCTAAGTGTCCCTCTCTGTCCCATAACCCACACTCCTCATCCACTCAAGCATTCAAGAGTCACTCACCAATGCTCCCTTGTATGCTGAGCTCCAGCAGTGGGAGCTGGAATTTAAGGATGTCATGGATGTGCACCCTGTCCTTCCACAGCTTGCCATATAAAAACAAAACTCCAATCAGGCTCAATGAGAGGTATACTGAGGGAGCATTGGGAACTTTAAAGGTGTTTTGTTTTGGTTGGGTTGGGTTGGCTGGGTCTCACTCTGACATTTAGGCTGGCCTTAAGCTTACTGTGTAGCCCAGGCTGGCCTCAAACTTGCAACAATCCTCCTGCCTCAGCCTCATGAGTGCTGGGATTATAGGCATGCGACACCATGCCTAGCTAGCTAAGACTAGGCATTCTGAAAGCACTGAGGAGGTATCCTGGGTGGCAGAGGAGGATTCAGGCAGAGGTAGTATCTGAAGTGTATTTTTGACTGACTCTTGACTATTTTCCCATTTTCACCTTCTCTCTTTTATCCTCCTATGATACCAGAGGGATCTTTCTGAAATACCATTTCATCAAGTTGCTCACCTGCTCAAAACCCTCTGTGATTCCCCAGTGCTCCCAGAATAAAGTCTTAGCCCCCTAGTTTAGCATGAAAAGCCCATCAAGATCTCTCCTGTGTAAAGCCCTTCACACATACATCCCCTTCACTCATACTGTTTTCATATAATGCTGTACTTAGGCTTCCTCCAAAGTCCTTGTCTTCCGTATTGCTAAACCCTGTACATACTGTTCCCTCTGCCTGGAAGTCCTCCAGCCTTCCTTAAAGATCTGTCTAAAGCCAGGTGTGGTGGTACAGACCTGTAACCCCAGTTTTCTGAGAGGCTGAGGCAAGAAGATCACAAGTTCGAACCCAGCTTGGGCACCTTACCAATTTAACACGACCCTGTCTCAAATTTTTTTTAAAAAAATTTTTAAGGCCTGGAGATATATCTCAATGTGAAGGTCCTACATGCAATACCCAATACTGCCCCCCCAAATCCATCTAAATATAAAATATCATCATCTCCTTAAAGCCCTTTTGGATCCAAACTCCCAGGGAAAAGGGGAAGGAGGGAGGGGTGAGAGGACACAGAGCCAAGAAAAATGAGAAGGATCCTTTCTCCTTCCTCCTCTGGGGCAGAAACCCCAATGATGGGAAGCTGCCCTACTGACCACGATTCGACAAGGATGAAAACTACTTGCAGCTGGATTTTATCATAAGAGTGGGTGTGAAGCTCAAGGAGAAGAAGATGGCCTTCTGGATAAGGCTACACCAGCTTCAGACACCCAAAAAGCAGAAATAATTCTGATTTGGAGAATAGGTGATACAGGAGGGCTTGTCCACCACCCAGGCCTGGGGAAGCTAGCCATGGATACATCTGGGGTGAAGAGTCCCCACCCCCCCCCAATCTAGGACCCAGAGAAGCTCCTGAGAGTCTCCAGGCCAAAGCTAGAGACTTAGCCTATGTATGGTTTGGGGCCCTGCACCACCTTCTCCAGCCTCATATCCTGCAACACCCACAAATCTCATGGTCCACATCAGGTTAGGCCAAGCTCATTCATTGTTACACTGTACCAAACACCCCTGGTCTCAGGACAACTCTTTTCCAAGTCTTCCCACCCTTTAAGATTTACTTGCAGCCCTTTCTTATGGGAAGTCCACAGAGACTGCCACTCCCTGCCCATTGTTCCCAGCTTGTCATTTATCATCATCCATCCTGCTCAACCTTGTTCCTGTTCACGTTAGCCTTGAGGTCCTAGGCGGGTTATGTGTGACACAGCAAAGCTCTGATAGCTTGCAGTCTCCTCCTCCAGTGCCCGTCAAAGCCTACACACATAGTGGTATACATAGTTTTCAATAAAGATGTGTTGCTTTGAGGCATGGTGTCCCCATTTGTAAAATGGGTGGGTAGAGGATGGTGTCTCAATTTGCACCCTGGGAGGAACTGAGCAGTTCTACGTGACCTTTACTGGGCTGTGCTTGTGAGGCCACACTCAGTCAAGGGAAGCTGGCCACAGCAATATTCCCTGGGCCGCCAAACACTTGACCTCTTTCTTCAGTTCTTCTCAAACATATCCCCCAGTACATCAAGACAGCCACATCTCATGCTCACTGTCCATGCATTTAGGCCTCAGTACTGTACTCCTCACTCTCTGGCCTCTCCTGCATCCAACCTGGGAACATGCAAGTTTGGCCCACAGTATGTATGTGTTTTTCTGAGATAGGGACCTTGCTATATTGCCCAGGCTGCCCTCGAATTTCTGGGCTCAAGAAAGCTTCCTGTTTCAACCTTCTGAGTAGCTGGGACTATGGGTGCACACCACCATGCCCAGATTTTTGTGAATTTTTCTTGGTGGAAAAATCTACATAACATAAATCAGGCATGCTGGTACATACCTGTAATCCCAGCATTCTGGGCAGGATTGCAAATTTGAGTCCCATCTGGGACTTAGCAAGTCTCTGTCTCAAAAAATAAAAAGGGCTGGAGATGTAGCTAGTGAAAAAACTCTGGGATCAATCCACAGTAACACCAAAAGAAAAAAAAAAAAAATCAACATTTATTTATTTATTTAATGATACTGAGGATCAAACCCAGAATTTTGGGCATGCTAGGCAAGAGCTCTATCACTGAGCTACATTCCCCAGTCAGTGGTGGCGAGCCTATGGCACATGTGCTACAGCCGGCTATTTGTTATTGAAAACTCTAAAGGGTTCACTTCACCATCACTGCCTTAGTCCCATTTTAATCATTTTTTAAATGTTCAGTTCAGTGGCATTACATATATCCACACTGTTGTGCAGCCATCACCACTGTCCATCTCCATAACTTTTTCCTCATCCCCAAACTAAAACTATCCCTCTTCACACTAAAGTAGAATAGTAACAATATTCTATTTTCTATCACTATGAATTTGACTCTTCTAGGTATGGTGCATTGAGCTGGGCATGGTGGTGAACATCATTAATCCCTGCACTTTGGGAGGCTAAAGAAGGAGGTCTGCAAATTCAAACAGAGCATAGGCAACTTAGTGATACCCTGTCTCAAATATTAAAAGGGGCTGGGGTACCTTGGTTAATTTCTTTGCCATTGAGACACAATACCCAACACCCATAACTTAAAGGAGAGGGTTATTTTGGCTCACATTTCAATTCCTGGTTGGCTGATTCCAAAGAAGAAACAGCATGGCTAAGGAAAAGATGGTCATTTCATGCTGGACAAGAAGCAGAGAGTCAAGGGAGGAGCCAGGCCATGCCTACAGTGACCTACCTCCACTTCCTATCAGCAAGTCACCGTGCCAGAGATTTAGCTCAGTGGCTCCGGCGCCTGCCTTGCAAGCACAAGAACCCAAGTTCGATCCCGGTACCAAAAAAAAAGAAAGAAAGAAAGAAAGAAAGCTATAGGCTTCCATAATCCAATCACCTTCCAAACATATGAGGCTTTGATGGACATTTTAGATCTAAAAATATAAAAGGATGTAAAAAGTGGAATCATATAACACTTGCCCTTTTGTGTCTGGCTTATTTCAATTTAGCATGATTTCTTCAAGGTTCACCCATGTTGTTGCATGTAACAAACTCATTTCTTCTTTAAGGCTGAAGAACATTTCATTGTATGTATATAACATTTTAAAAATCTACTTATTAACTGATGGACATTGTGGTTGTTTCTCCCTCTTTGTTATTGTGAACAATGTGGCTAGCAAAACTGGTATAATATCCTACCAATTTTATATCCTGAACTATGATTTTTTTTTTTGAGACAGGGTCTCACTTTGTAGTGCAGGCTGGACTTGAACTCACTACATAGCCCAGACTGGTCCTCAAACTCATGGCAATCTGCCTGCCTTAATCTCCCGAGTGTTGGGATTACAAATGTGTGCCACCACACCCACCAATTAAGCCCTTACTTCTAGGGGTTCCAGAGCCTCTGGAGCAACCAGAAGCTTCAGAGACCTGTGGGAAGAGGATACCCAAACCTTCATACTCTAGCACTAAGCCCTAAAAGCGAAAGGATGGCTGAAGGAAGGGGGAAGCCCCTTAAAAGCAAACATTTATCCTCACAACAACCCTATCATGTGGATAGTATCCCCATTTTACAGATGAGGAAATTAAGATACAGCAATATAAAGACCTTTTGCCCAAAGTCATAGCTAGTGGTGGTAGAGCAGGAGTTTGATGCAATCTGTCTGACTTACCCTTCCTTCCACCTCATTTCAGACCTAGAGCAACCACTGAGGGAGGTCTACAACCAGAGGAAGTGTGGCAGCTCCATTCTCAGGTGACACTCAGCAAAAGCAATTTAGTAAGAATGTCCTTGCCTGCTTCTAAACAGGAGACAATCAATTGCCCACTCATAAGTAGCAGCTTGTGTGAGGGCTGGAGTGTCAGCCCCCTGGAAGGTGGTCCTGGGGCAGCCTGTGTAGAACTCACAGTATCATTAAATAAATAAACTGTAATTTTTTTGTATGTGTGTTACTGGGGATTGAACCCATGGTCTTTGCACTGAGCTACAACTCCAGCCCTTCTTATTTTTTGAGACAGAGTTTTACCAAGCCCTGTGTGGCACTCGAACTTGCAATCCTTCTGCCCAGAGTACTGGGATTGCAGGCAGGTGCCAGGATGCCTCATTTATGTTATGTTATTTATGTAAATTTTGCCACCTAGAAAAACTCACAAAAATCTGGGCACGGTGGTGTACACCCATAGTCCCAGCTACTCAGGAGGTTGAGATAGGAGGCTTGCTTGAGCCCAGCTAGGTCTGATTCACCCCAATGTCCTCAGGGGACATCTTGACCTTGGACATTCTAGGGGACTCACCCTGTGGCCTGCTGGTACAAGCTCCCAGGCTGGTCCAGATCTATCTCCGAGCGTTCCTCATTTCTCTCCAAGCGTTCCTCATTTCTCCCCAAGCGTTCCTCATTTCTCCCCTGCTATGGTTTGAATGTGGCTTATCTCCCTGAAACTCATGCTGGAGTTTAATCCTTATTGAGAGAAATTAAGTGGGTGGAAATCCTTTGGGATGGAACCCTCACAATTGAATGCTGGTGGTTTTATACAAGATACACACACACACACACACACACACAGAGTCTTTTGCCATGTAATGTTCAGTGCTGCCTCTGGACTCTGCCAGCAAGAAGACCCCTTGACCTTGTATCTCCATAACCTTGCACCAAAGTAAACCTCTTTTCTATATAACTCATCAAGTTTGTGGTATTTTGTTATTGGCAACAGAAAATAGACCAAGACATCCCCTGACAAAGATTCTGTCATTGACCAAACTATTCGATTGGGCTCTCCTGAACTTTTCGACTAGACTTGACTTTTGGGGTTCTGTGTGTTTCTGCATCATTCAATTTTAGCAAGAATCCTGTTAAACTGCTTTAACCAGACTCTGCCCCATTCAATATTTGATCACTTTCTACATTTAACAGAATTCCTCGTCCTCCATCATCCCCCAGGTGGTATCTGAGCACCATGGCCTGTCTTCAGTTAAGAATCCTGTTAGAGGGGCCAGGGATTTAGCTCAGTGGTTTCGCTGCCTGCTGCGCAAGCACAAGGACTGGAGTTCGATCCCGGGTACCAAAAAAAAAAAAAAA